GATTTCTTTACTTTCTTTATTTCTTTTTGTATTTTCTCTATTTTCTTAATAAAATCTTTATCTTGTCTATAAATAAGTTATACACATGTTTATTTATTTTCTTGCATTTGTTTATAAATTATAAGTAAAGTCTATATTGTATAATCTAGAGTCTTAAAATAAACTATTGATATTTAAATCTTTGCTTAAACTGTTACGTGACTTAGCTAAAACTCACTTTCTTTATTCTTTGAACTTATCCATTCTTTAAATCCTTACAAAGTCCTAGTGAAACCATTCCATTTTGTTTTCTATTGTCATTAGATTAGAATTTACCATATTTTCTCTTCTCTATATCTACTATCTTTCCTTTAACTTGTCTCTTCTTTGTTTTATTTAGTTTTCTTACTTTTATTGTTCTATAGTATAGAAAATTAATTACTTTATATTTATTTGTCTTTTTATACTCCCAAAACTTACTGATAATTATCAGGCTAAACTCAAGCACTTGTTGTACTTGTCACCTCGCTCTCCCAACAGGTAGTATCAGCGGGTGCTGACAATATAAGTAGTATTGTAGAATTTTTCTGGATCATTATTTGTGTTTATTTTTGATTAAATAATGTCTTTTGTTTTTCTTGATAAGTGACCTGTTCATATTTCTTGAAGAATATTATAAAATCCAATATCTTCTTGTTGGCATTGGGATGTAGTTAAAAATAAGAAAAAGAATGGTGACCAAGTTAAGGTTTGAAAGACATATTTCAGTTTTATAAGAGGTAATTGAATCAGGTCTCCTATCACTAGAGTTGGTATTCCTTCAAATATAATGTTGTTGTTATAAATTTTGACAAAGATATTATTAATAAAAGTAAACAAATCTCCATCAACCATTGAGATTTCTTTTATCATTATTGCTTCTATTTTTTTTAGGTTAGTTTCATCTTCTTTGTTGAAGTGAATTAAAGTTTCATATATTTCATGACGAAATCAAATTTTTAATAATAAGTGTAATTTTTTTTCACCAATATTATAAGCCATAACATTAATAAATGTTATTAGTAGATATTTTTTATTTTTTATTTGAAGGGAGGAAATTAATTGATACATTAGGAGTGTTTTTTCAGTTTCAACTGGACCTGTTAAAAAAAGTACAAATACTTTCTATTAGTTGATTTTCCCTATACATTAGATAGTGTAGAGTAGATCTTGTATTATTTGGTGTCTAGAGTTAGTAAGAATTGAGAATTTAAGTTGAGACAATGTTTTTTTAATAAAAGGAATTGATTAAACATTAGGTCCAAATTTTGAAAGTTGTGTAAAAGGGTTGTTAATATGGATTTGTATAATTTCGATAAGTAATTTCTTTATTCCATGTAGTTTTTTTTAAGTGATTCAGTTACTTGGTTATATCTTATAGGGAATATTGTTCAGAATCTATCTTTATATATCTCAAATTCTCCAAGTAATTCTTGTTCAGATTTCACAGAAATTTTTATTATAAGATATTAAAAGAAAAAAGGTTCTTTATCTTTTATTTTGTAAGTTAATGGTATTGGTATTTTTTCGTTAAACAATTATTCTGTTTTTGTAGTCTCGGCAATAGAATAAGTTTGAATTTTGACTTGATTGTTTGGATCGAATGGTGTAATTACAAAAGTAATTAGGATATATAATCAAGTAAAAGTTTAGATGATCCAAATGGTCATAATATTTGTCAATTGCATTATCTCAGTAGGAAAGTTCATCATCATTGTTGTCATCATCTATTTCAGTTAATAGATGAATCAGTTTAACAGATCTATATCTAAATTTGAAAGGTACAGAGGGAAAATAAAGTACCGAGATTGAATATCTTGTTAAAGGGTATTGTAGTAAGAGAATTATTAATTTCATAATACCTAGTTTTCGAGCTGTAATATGTCTTCTGTAACTATCTTTTTCGGAGATGTCAAAAAGTTCGAAGGGTTCAGGTTTGTTTATATATTTTGTTATATATTTGATAAATCTGTTAGTTGTAATATATTAAAAATTTATATGTCTTCTTCATATTAATAGTGTTTCGGGATAGTATGAAATGATTATTTGATTTTCTTGTTTTGTATGATGGTAAATATAATGTAAGTTATTTGGTAAGCAATATGTTTTTTCTGATAATGGTTAAGGAAATTCTTTAGAACACTGTTTATCTGTGAAGTCATATGTTTTATATTTATGATTACCATGGTGTTTTTGAAACATAATAACCAAATGATATAAGTCGAGTTCTATAAGGGAATTGGGGACATCTGCTCAAATCATATTTAGAGAAATTAATTCTTGAGTTTTTTTTTTAACATAGGCAAATTCGTGTGTATAAATTATTCTTCTGTTTTGAAATTCATCTTGTTCAAAAAAGTGTTCCCATTTTTCCCAACTGGCTAAATCAGGATTTTTCCATAATTTATTACGAATATTATTTAAAAAATTATGATAGAATATGTAAACATGTAGTAATTGGTTAGTAGATAATGGATTGTGATTATCAGTTGATAATAAAATTTTATGTAATTGTGGTCATTTATTTTCAGCTATGGTCATTGTATAGAATATTTGTGATAATCCATAAGTTTGTATCATTGTATTGATTTGATTTTGTTTTTTTTTAAAGAATGGAGTAGTAGTTCTGAGGTATGAGGGAATTGTTACAGTTTTTGATTCATCGATAATGAAATAATTATTGTAAAAACTTTTGACAATTAAATCAGTTCTTGTTAGATGATATTCTTGATTGATATTTCGAGTAGATAATAATCATTGTTGATTTTGAAAATTTTTTTTTCTAAGTTTAAATATGACCAGTATAGCCAATACCAATGTAAACGAAAATATAGATCAGGACATAATATTCTAAGTTTAATATATTTACCATAACTATCTATAGATGGTCAGATATTTAAACATTTTTTCATATTCTCATAATGATCTTGACTGTTAAGGAATAAATTAGGAAAAATTAAAACTTCTAGGTCAGAATTGTTAAAAAAGATTGGAAGATTTGTATCGTTATTTATGATGGAACCAGCTATTAGTCTGTTATAATTAATATCTTGATTATGAATTTCTTGTGAAAGTTGAACATTTAGAATTACTAGATCTGATGAATAAGAAACTTCATTGAGTAGAGTGCTTCAGTATGTATTAAGGAGTGATGAATTATTATTAATTAATTGTCTTACTAGAGGTAATGGAATGGGTACAGTATTTTCTAGTAATAGATAAGTAGTGATTAAATTTGATCAATATTGTTTAATAAGATCATTATTTTGTTTTAACCATTCAGAAGCAAGAATTAGAGAGGTATGAAACTAAGTTGAAGGTTCATTAGAGTTCAAGTAGATACCAATTGATCCAAAATATATATGTAAAGTTCAATAGTTGTGTATAAGTTCTATTAAACCTTTTAGATGTCAATAATTTGTATATGGATTTGTACTTGCAGCATGACCTAAAGAACAACTCATATGAATTGGTGAAAGATATTTTTGTGACTTCTTGAATGACAGAAGGAATGAGGTCAGTATAGAAGAATAATAACGTGTATTTTGGTTCTTGCATCTATTACAAATAGCAACTTGTTCAATATTTCATCTATTTGTTCGTATATACACAGGGATATCAAAAGAAACAGTTAAATAATAGTTTTCATCATTGTAATAAGGAATCCAGTTTACAGATGTTTTCATCATTAAAATTGAACAGTAAGCACAAGGAATGCATGGGTAGTCATATAATATTTTGGTTTGAAATTCAGTTAGTAGGAGTTGAAAATTAGTTTGATGAGAAATGAAATTGTTGTTGAATAGTGGTTGAGAACTTGTTCTGTTGATAGTTTAGTATTATCGGGAAGTGATGCATTTGGTAGGTTTTGATTTATTTCATTTCTGAGTATGTAAGAATTGAATAAGTGATCATTTTGTGGATTTGAGGAGTTGGTGGTGTTATTTTGTATTTCATTTTGAAAGGTAATAAGTGGAAAGTTTTGAATTTGGTGATTCATTATAAGTTTTATTTATTGTAATAATAGATTGGATTTGTTATTTTATCAAGTGTTTATATATATGTGTTTTTGTGTATTTGAACTTTTCTTTTTTATAATTTTATTTAATAAATTATCAAGTGCATATTATTATTATTTTAATATTTTATTTAATTTTACATGTTATTGTTTATTTTATGTATTAATATTTAAACAATAAAGTAAAAATTTGAAGTAACTTTCTTATAGTATTCATGTATATTAATTTGATTTGTAGTTAAACAGTACATATTAATAAATTTTTTATTTTTTAACTCATTTTATTTTATTTGAATTGTGTAAAGAATGTAAAGAAAAAAGATGACAATTGGAAACTTAGTTTGAATTGTGTAAAGAATGTAAAGAAAAGAAATAACGATTGAAAATTTAGTTGGGATTCATCTCGGGAAGATCAATTGTCACGTTAGAGTTTTCTTGAGTAGTGGGTTCACCATCTCTAATTTGCAAAATTACATCATTGAGGTTTGTAGATGACGTACTATCTTGTGATGATTTTGATTTTGGAATAAAATTATTTAATTTTCTTTTTTTAAAGATTCAGAATTCATTTTTGCATATTTCTCATCGATGATATCAAGTTGGTTATCTAAATCCTCGTGAGATTTTGTTTTTCCTTTGTTTGAGGAGTGTTGAGATTGCGATTCACCAATATTACCTGCATAGTTCCATTCAATATCTGAGGCCATTATATGAGGTGATCTTTTTTGTGAACCAATCTTGAATCTTCCGATTACAGACATTATGGTCTTTTTGAGATTATCTTTTAAGGAGTTATATCGACCATTTGGATTTGTGTACGAAATGATGATATTAGATTCAACATTTTTTTTACCGGTCACTCCATTGTAAAGTTTTTTAGACATTAGAAACTATGTCTTCCAATTTCATCATTAGATTTATAAGAATTAGTTAAGGCGGGAGCAGAATAAAGATCTTCTTGTGTATTTGTGGAATCATCCGAGGAGTAAGAGATAGGCACAGTTTGAATTAACGTAACCTTAGATACATTAAAGAGTAATGGAGATTAATCTGTAATTCTTTTAAATAAATTGTATTTTAAAGTAATAAGATTTGATATTTACATATTCAACATTTTCTTCATAAACGTATCTTCCAATTACAAGTACAATGGAATCCTTTTCGAAATCCATAATTAGTGTTTCAGAAGTTCCGGTGAATCCTTTGTAGATAATTTCTCTAAATTTATCTTCATCACCTTTCATCCGATACAAGGCACTCCCTGTTACGTATTTGTCGTTTCCTGTAACTGTTTTAATAAAGCAGAACGATATGAATACAGATGACATAGTTTTATAAATTTATGTTGCGGAATGGAAAAAATTTTAATAATAATGTTATTTCGTATTGTTTATATATTTTCATTTGTTTATAAGCATAGGAACTTGTTTTTATCACTAGTAATTTAAAAATGAAAAGTGGCGATATACAATTAGTATTTTTTTATTATTAGGTAAGATTCAAAATTTTTATTCTGACAGGATCATTTGTTATTTAATTTGCGTCACTTTTTTTCTCATCTAATTAATTTGATTCTTATTCAGACGAATAACTTTTTGATCAGGACTAGTGTTTTTATTAATTTGTTGCAATGCCAATTGAATTAACGATCTTAAAATTTTTTGTAATAATTACATCAAGGTAATCGAGAAAAACCTATTTGTTATCAAGTGCCTTGATTAGTAAATTATTTTTTAATTTGTAAAATTAATAAATTATTTTTTAATAAAAATGACGGACACAAAAAAAATAAAAACGGAAAGATAAATGTTATTGTTACATCATTTGTTTATTACGTAATAAAGAAATCAATTTTACTCTATAACAAAAATAGTATAAAGAAAAACACACTTGCGCCATGTCATTTTTTTTATAAATACGATACTTGCCCAGAGAGAAGTAAAACGAAGCGGGTCAAGATCAAGATCATGAGCACAGCGCGGCTCAGCACAGCACAGTGCAACACAAGAGTGTTGATTTCTTGATACCTAAAAGAAAATACAAAACGCTTCCAATCCCGTGTAACCGTAAATAGCCTGCTATATCCACTTTTTCGCTCAAAAAGGCACAGTCTAAAATAAAAAGGCACAAATTTGAATAAAAGGGCAAGTTGCATCGCACGAATTTGAAAGAGTTTTTATAGTGCTAAAAATAAATAATTTATAGTGCTAATTTTTTATAGTGCTAAATCCACGAATAACATTGTTGACCAATCAGCTAGAACACTGGTATATAATGAAATCAGATTGCTTCTTCCCAGTATCTCTGATGTAAATTTGCGTAAGAGAACTTTCAAAGCTAAAAAAGTTTATACATTGTTTGAAGGGATAGGAGTAGATATGATTAGGCAAATAACTTACAGTGCAAATGCTATTTCAAGCCTAACAGATATTCAGATTCAAAATATTATAAATCGTTTTCGTAAAAAGTCAACTAACATAAATGATACAATTAATTGCCAAGAAGTGATTGGTGTTCCGAAAAAAAATGCATATGTTACTGAACCATCTAGCTCAAACGATATATCAAACACTGAGGTAAGTATTCCAGACAAGTTGAAAAAATTACCAGAAGCCAAGAAAATTATACCAGAAACCTCGGTAAGTGCATTACCTTCAGCACAGAGTGTCATTTCTTCCGAAACAAATACAAAGAATGATCACTCTCACATTATTAAGGTATTGGAGCAGTATCCTAACATATCTTTGCAAGACAGTGATAATTATTTTGATAGCTACGTAATCAGTGCGAGCCAGAATGACAATGCCTATAAAATAACTGATTCATCATCATTATGCCCAGCGTGTAATCAATATCATAGGGAATCTATAACAGGTGGATATAGAGAAGGATCTTATTATATTAATTGCTTGTTCTTGCCGACCCAATATATATAAAAATTATGATCACATGGGATTGCCTATGTCACATGTATAATCATGGTTAAGAGTTAAAAATCCAGATGTAATAAAATACGAAATTCGACTCAGCTTTATTGCGAAAATCTCATTATGATCAGATGTTTCGTATCTAAAATATACATTTTGTTTTATTTTCAATGCCACATATACTCATACACAAGGTTAAAAAAAAATAAAATCCAATTTAGGTGAAATCTTTATTATTTTCACATATTACTGGGATACTTTTTTTTTTTATGATCAATGCAAAAAATCATATATGTAGAAATGAAAATACATGTCGAATTCTTTCATGTATCACATTCTTGATCGTGATCAGTACATTGACGTTTTGAAGAATGGCCTCCATCGCCAAATTGCGTAGCCTGGGCTTGTAACACCCGAGCAATATACTTTAACACTTCTTTTTCGGGTTCCATATTACTCTTAAAATTACAAGCGTATTCTACAGAAATATGAACCGTTGGTTCTTCTAATGATCCAGTCCAACGGACAAATCGCCATAGTTTTGAAGTTGTAACTATTCCGAACATCACTGGTCTCTTGCGTTTACCCAAATTTTCTATTGCACTCTGCATTTGTACAACAACCTGTGCTACTCCTTTATTCATGTCTTCCGATTTTGCTTCACATAACAGCACCAAAATTTCGGTGAGCTTCACCATGTAGTCGACAGGGCCATACCCATAGCTCCCATCCAGTTGTTTTTCCACGCATAACTGTGTTGATTCGTTTATGTGATCTTTTATATAACAAACTGCAGATTTCATGAAGGCATTAATATATAAACGAGCCATCGATTCATTATCACATTCGTTATTTAATGCGTTAAGTGCTTGTTGAAGTTCCTCAACGAACTTTTTTATCTCGCCCTCAGTAAATGGTGGCGTTAACGAGGGAAGGCGATTCAGATTAAATCTAGGTATATCACTAAGATATTCATAATTCGGTTTCCCTAATATCTTCTTGAACACATCCTTTAGATCCCACTCACTATAAGATTTTTTACCTTTGACTATGACTTTTAACTTAAATACGCAGTTTTTACCATCCAGGGTTTGAGATACTGCGGTATTGAAGTTATACTCGTTCCTAATCTCCGTTTTGTCATTTAAAAAATAGAATTCTTTTGTCTCCAAATCTTCGTATTTTTCTTTTATGACTTCTTTTAACAGACTTAAAGAGCCACTTGTATGCGGTATTTCAGTACTACCATGTTTATGTCTGTACGAATAATTCACCACAACTTCAATTGAATGGAAACTAATAAGTACTTATTTGGCAGGAAAAAACAATAAAAACTTCATTTACCGTTTGCATTTGTAAGTGGGTAACGAACAACAAGTGGGTTTTCGTCTGTTGAATTATCTGACAGGGATTTGAGGTCGATGCCCGGTCGAATAGAAGTGTTATTGCTATCTAAAAATACAATATCTTGCGGTCTGACTTTTTCTAACTCTTCAAACTCTCTTTTGAGAATTAGTGCGAAATCGTCCAAGTCTTTAGTTTCGGATAAGTCGGCTTTCAATTTTACAGCCCTTTGTGACCCTTCTAGTAGAACCCACATTTTTATTATGGAGTCTGGGGTACTCGGGCGTTCTGTAATCTCGCTTTTATATTCGTTAAACATCTTTTTTTTAACTGCGGATAATAATAATACTAATTTAGGTTAGTAAATAATCAGAAATAGACTTAATGCAATAGAAATTTTAATTGCAGATCGAATTCAAATTTATTTAAAAAATATAAATATCGTCGCAAAAAAATTAAAAAAATTAAAAATTTATTTAAAAAATATAATTAAAATCGCACAGGACAGGAAAATGGGTTTGCAAAAATTTGTTGGCAGGTATATATATAAGCTGATAAAATCGAGATAGCGCAAGGACAAAGAATTAATCAAATCAGGAAGTCGTACAAGGAATTAGGTCACAGAAATTCTACATAATTTATTTTATTTATTTCGTTTATATTTAGAAAATGTGAACCGAGTTCACAACGTCACGTGGCTACCGCAGTAAATATTTATTTACTTCATGTCACTGGCGCAGTAATAAGGCGCAGTAGTAAGATTCATAAAGAAATTATCAAAAGCACTTAATATATCAATGGTTAAGTTAAATGTACGAAGTAGAAAAAATCAGGATAATCTATGCTGATCCATATACACACCTCTCATGTAAATCACCGGAAATTTGTCACATGATAATGAGTGACGAAAATTTTTCACATTTCAAAAATTCATTTTAAAAAAAATCAAGTGTATTAATTTATAAAAATTTTTATGTCAAATATACTTTCAATTATATATTTTTTATTTATATAATTTTTATATAATAAAAATCAATATTTAGTATGTTCACCCTTGGCCTTAATAATGGCCTTTATACAATTAGATAAATTTGAAATTAAATTATGAAAAATCTCAATATTAATATTTTGCCATTCCTCTTTTGCAACTCTTATTAAATCTTTTTTGAAAGTAGGTAAAGGTTTCTTTTTTCTTATTTTACAGTTCAGATGATCTTATAAGACCCACTCTAAAATTTTAATGTTATGTGTTGACATCTATCAACAGATATAAAATAATGTATAACAAGAAGTCCCATCTTGTTGTAATGTAGCATTAGGACAATCTTGAACCCATGAAATAAAATTATTAACAAGAGTATTGATATAAACATCAGAATTCATGTTTATATCAATCAATACAAAAGGTTCAACTTTATTTCAATCGAAACAACCTCAAAACATTACAGAACCTCCATCAAACTTTACAGTAGGTTTAATACAATCTTTATTATAAGCTTCTCCAGTTTTTCTTCACACTTTCACATGTCCATCTGACTCAAAAAGTGCAAATCTGAATTCATCTGATCATATAATATTTTTCTATTCTTCATTTTAATTTTAGTATTCTCAGCACCATTTTAATTTTTTTTTTCATTGTACTTCAGTTAATAAAGGTTTGCAACGTGTAACACAACTGTTAATTCCAGTATTGTGTAAATATTTATATACAGTTACTATATTTAATTGGATATTAAGTCTAATATTAAATTGGTTTGTTATATTATCCAAAGGAGCAAACTATACCTGCCACCCAAATTCAAAATCCAAATGCCGAAATCCCAAATGCCGAAATCCCAAATCCCAAATCCCAAATTATGATTAATATTTTTTGCCGAAATCCCAAATTTCAAATCTCAAATACTAGTAATTTGGAATTTGGGCAACACGTATAGAGCAAACCAATCTTCATAAATAATATATTGTAAAACTTTTGTATTACATTTAGTAAATTTTTTTACCTGCTAGGATGTTTCTGGAGATGTGAAGAACCTGTTTCATTATATCTTTTTATAGTATTATAGATTGTAGATACTGTAATATTAAGTTGATACAAAATATTTATAAAATTACTATTATTAATATAAGTACCAACAATTCTTTTACGTTAAGCTATGATAAGTTCTTTCTTATTATTTAAATTATATGAAAGATGGCACATAAATTTTAATTAGTCAACATTATATATTTATTTATAAACATGTTGTCGCACCAATATGTGGACAAGGGTCTGAAGGATAATTAATATTCTTTAACTACACTAACTTAAACTACTTAAATAATTTTCAGAATTTCTCAAGGATTACTAAAATCAACTCAATTTAATTATTTAATAGTGAATTCGAATGAATATTACAAGATGAGTTCTTTATTGTATGGGATTTTAGCATATCAAATCAGCTTGTTCACTTAATAAAATGTATATACTAAAGAGTATTTATACAAGATTAGCTCAGGTTTTATTAAGAATTACATGACAAATTAATAAATTAAAAATTTAATGGGGATATTTAATATGATATACCTTTATTAATAAATATAATAATAAATATAAAGATAAAATATAATATAAAAATAAAAATTATAAAAGTAAAGGTAAATATTAAAGGAGTGAATTATATATTAACTAAGAGAAACAACTCCATTCTAATTTCTTAAACTATTGAGAACTTTAGAACTTCTGAATTTCTCTTTTCAGGTCAGGGAAGATTTATATTTATATTTCTTTAATTTGCTTACACAATGATCTATCAAATTAATGATTTACCAATTTTGATAAGAGATAATTAACCTGGTAATCCACCTGTTATGTGTAATAAGTAATTTACCTAGGTGATTCACCTGGTAATCAACCTGATAAGCTACCTGTTACATGATTTTCAATTTACATAAATTACAAATAAATAATAAATACATTAAGAAATAATATAATAAAAATAAATTAAATTAATATTCTATA